GCTATCGGGGGTTCGCGTGGTAGCGGTGGTAGTGGGTCTGAGGATGATGAAGTGCAGAGGACCATGCTCGAGATCGTCAATCAGCTTGATGGCTTCGACGCTCGAGGCAACGTGAAGGTACCGGCAGCAGCAGCACGAGCATGTGGAGTGTCAGTAGCCTATCTCGGCGTTCAGGTTCTGATGGCCACGAACAGGCCCGACACGTTGGATCCAGCTCTCCTCCGTCCTGGTAGTAGGGGGTGTTATTGGTGGAGTTGGTCACCTGTGGGTTGGATAGTCTTGATTATCGAATGGTGTGGTATTGTAATTGTCATCACTCTGGTGTTCCTCAGGACGACTTGATCGTAAAATTGAGTTTGCCTTGCCGGATTTGGACGGTCGCACGCACATCTTCAAGATCCAGGCCAGGAGTATGAACATGGACCGGTAATGAGATTTATACTGGAGGAGATAGATGACCGTTTTCACTGGGCGTTTCACTCAGAGACATCCGTTTTGAGCTCCTCGCCAGACTGTGTCCGAACTGCACTGGAGCTGATATCAGGAGTGTGTGTAAGTTTATATTGAGTTAGGAAGTGTAAGAAATGTGGTATAAAATGTGTGGGGTAGGCACAGAGGCGGGGATGTTTGCCATTCGAGCTAGACGGAAGTCTATTTCTGAGAAGGATCTCATTGAGGCTATCAACAAGGTTGTGAAGGGCTACGCTAAATTCTCGGCAACACCAAAGTACTATTTTTCATCTGATAGGAATAAGTGGGGGAATGTATCAATCCACAGATACATGGTATACAACTAGTCGCGGTTAGTGAGCTGTTGTGACTATCCTATTACGACTGTTTCTATCGTGGATAGGATGTATTGAGTTGAAGTTGAGCATGTCTCGTTGTACGGTGGAGGAGTAGCTGTTGGCTGTAGTATGTCAACTATGAGTGGCTTGGCGACGGGATTGGCTTCTGACGGCTCCCTCTTGGCGGAGACGTTGGAGATGCCCGAGTATGGCAAATTCACGAGGAGGGGGGAAACGGGTCGGCTCATTGAGACTAAGTAGTAGTAGCCTGACGAGGCGTGAGGTTACTTTGAATGTTCATTGTGATCAGGGCTAAGAATCTCCCCAAGATATTTATGCCTTATATAATTCGACTAGGGGTAGTGACTCGGGGTAATATGGGGTTATTGATGGAGTCAGGTCCATCTGGGCCCGGCTAGGGTGAAGAGGCCTCTCACTGAGGAGGAGGTGTTGGGCATCGTAACGGCCCCGAAGGGTCCGTCTACAGGTTTTGGTAGTGGTAGTTTGGCGGACCTAGTTTGTATCTTGTTGATTGGACCTCAGGGATACTCCCGGATGAACTGATTGATGTCATAATTGACCCCACAGGGCGGTACTCATCGGAGGGCTCGGCGGCGATGGGCAAGGCCCCTGACCAGCACATACTAGTGGTAGTACCAGTGCTCGGCTGTGGAGAGGAAAGTGGATGCCGACTCAGACGTTGAGGGGGCCGCCATCGAAGGCCGCTGTGAAGGTTGGGGAGGTCGTGGCTTTGGCTGATAATACGGCTACTGTCAATGTATTGTATGTAGAGGATAGTGTGAAGGACCAGGATGAGAGCCGACGAAGGTAAGGAGCTCCTAGTGTTGTTGGGAAGTGCTCGTGGTGTGGTATTAGATCCTTTGAGAGGATGATCATGGACCCTACTGTGGACGGCATACTAATATCACTACCTCAAATATGGATAGTAAGGAGTGTTTATTATCACCGGTGATGGTATCTTGTATAGATACCAGATCCCC